TTGAGCCAATTTTCAAGCTGTGACGTCATAATACTAGAAAAATGTGTAATATCGAGGTAATATTACCAGTAATATGGCTAATATTGGTGTAATATTTGAGGTAATATCAGTCCGTGTACGGAGGAATATCGAAGTTGACGACCCCTCGAAGTTAATGAAACAGAAACACTACATTACAAAGAACCGCACTGCCTTGTGATAAGAATCATATTTATTTAAAGCACAAAACGTGGTGGTTCCAATTAAAAATCAATGTTTCGTAATACAAAGCAATCGGATTCTTTGAAAGATCACAAAGGAAATGCTTTGTAAGGTTTTAACAGTGTAGTCCACACAAAATCGAATAGTGGAAAACGTCCGGTAGGGGAGGCCAGATGAGTGATATGGAGTATTTGTATGGCTATACGACTTGACTTACCAGGTCACACACGATAAGAGGGAAGGGGGAGGGGGCTGCAAAAGAGGTGAGGTGGCGGATGGCCGAAACAGTCTGGCCTTTGAAAGGAGCCGACGATATTATCGCCTTCATCACTAATCTGCCTGCCTCAAGCGCTTACTTCAGAATATCAGGGAAAGGCGCAAAGGGGGGGGTAAGGGCACCTCACTCAACCGAAAATTCACGTCTGTGCATAGATGGGGGAATGCCGGTCGGCACATAAGCCAAAATTATACGGCGCAAGAAGAATTAGAGATGTACGCAGGTGAGCCGGTGAGTCGGGGGCTCGCGCGCAGCCGCTAATGCGCCGCCAGACTGACCCTCTGCCACCTCTCACTCAGTACACCTCCCATCACACTGCAACATCTTTAGGACCCTCGCGCAATAGACACACGATGTGTTTACCATCATAATTTGCGAGTTCGATAACTTCTTATGCCCTCCCCCCTCTCAGCCCCTTTCCCCCCTCGGTGTAATAAATTGAAAGGGACGAAATTTATACAACATCTTGTGAAACGGGCACAATCATATCCGCACCTGAACCGGTCTCACCAAACTAATGATATGCCAATCACCTGCCCCCCCCCCCCCTGTCCTGAAGTACTCACGAGACCGTTCACCTCCTCCATGGCGCAGTACCAGTGTGTCGTCGCACCGCGGCAACCAAAAACAAACTGACAAGCTTGTCGCGGGGCGCACGTACCTCTCGGTACTCTGGGCAAAAGGCGCGGAAGGGAGGAGGAGAGGGGAGAGAGATCGCCATCAGATCGGTAACCCCATGCTGCCTGGTTGGCGAAGCCGAGGAGGGTTGAGGTTGTGGGGGGGGGGGGGGGGGGGAACCCCATGCTGCCTGGTTGGCGAAGCCGAGGAGGGTTGAGGTTGTGGGGGGGGGGGGAGGCGTAGTTGGCGTAGTTGAGGGCAGAGGAGAGGCGGGCGGTTCGTAGTGCTCATGTGTCATTTATTAGCAAAACGATTTCTATGGCCGGCCCATGAAGTGGAGGCGACACGACTTCCACTGGTGGCTGACGGTGAGCAGCGCACGCCGCTCTGGCGGGCATCCGCGGAGGGTTGCGCAAAACAGGAGCCTGGGACTTGAATCACGCGGGGCCTGATGGCTCGAGGGGGTGGGGTTATCGCCGCTGCCGGTACTCGTGGTACTTGTACTCACCATTCTGGGGCAGGCGCGGCTCCGCTGTGCTGGGCTGCGCGGCCGGTCCTTCGCTAGAGCGCTCTGCTCGTCCACCTCGACGCTGCACGCTGCACGACACAACAACACTGGACGCCGGCTGCGCTGCGTTCGCTGCGCTGCGCTCGACAGAGGGACGGGGGACGGGGGGCCGGTCTGGTGCCGACTGAAGACGAGGCGCTCCCGCTCACAGTCGCGTCAGAGCGGCTCGGGCTGGGCAGGCTGAGTTGGGCTCCACCGGGTGAAGCGCGGGCCTTGAGGCTTGAGGATGGTTCTTCGGCAGGGCCTGGCGGCAGAGCT